TCACTATGTAGACCAGGCCGGTCTTGAACTCACAGAGATCCACCTGCCTCTGCCTCCCAAGTGCTGGAATTAAAGGCATGTGCCACCACACCCAGCTGATAACAGCTCGGTGAAGAAGAGCAGATCTGAAGAAGAGACTCTAGGTAGGCTGACTAAACCTTGGTGGATGAACTTGCACTGAGGGACATCTGGGGACACTAACTTTACATAACAGGCCCTAATACAAATGACAGAATGTATGAACTTGGGGGTGGGGGGCTATAGGAGGGTGCCAAAGGGAAAGGGTGTATAAAGATGGATTTTATGTATGAAATACCCAAAAATTCAATAAAAAAGAGAAAGATACATTTTTCAAAATTTCAAAACTGGCACTGGAGGGAAGGCTCAGCAGTTAAGAACACTTGCTGTTCTTCCAGACCCGGATTCAATTCCCAGCACCCACATGATGGCTAACAACCATCCATAACTCCAGTTCCAGCAGATCTGACACCCTCTTCTGTCCTCTCCAGGCAGTGCAGGCACGTGGTGCACTTACATACATGCAGGCAAAACACTCATACACAAAAAATAAAAATAATTTAAAAATATTTTTAAAATTTCAAGACTAAAAAATACTGTGTAGAAAAAAAAGTAACAATTAAAAAGGTCCATAAAGGAATATTGTTAAAAATTCCATAATCACAAATTTAGTCACTGAGGTGAACTGACCAGAGGAACAATCTACCAAAAGGCAAACAGAGGTAAATACTATGAACAGGTATATATGTATTAAAGATACTGAATAACTATCAACTGAAAAAAGGGTGGGGAGCACTTAAGGGATGCCACTAGCAGATCTTCCAAACAGGTAAGATTCCAATGGCTTGAAGAAAGGGAAGCACTTCCTAATTCAAACTAGGATGCCCATATGACCTACTAACAAAACTAGAGAAAAAACAATAAATACCATACAGGTGCAAACTACCTTAACAAATATTAGAAAATAAAATCTAAAATGTATTTTCAAAATAACACAGAATGTGGAAATGGTGGTACATGCTTAAAATCTCAGGAAGGAGGAGGCTGATGCAGATGGCTCTGCAGTTAAGAGCACTGGCTGCTCTAGCAGAGGACCTGGGTTCGGCTCCCAGCACCTACATGGCAGCTAACAACCATCCGTAACTCGAGTTCCAGGGTATCCAATGAAGTTTTTCTTGCCTCCACAGGCATTGCACAACATGGGTGTACTTGTATACACGCAGGCAAAACACTCATACACATAAAATGAAAAATAATAAATAAAGGCTGGGCATAGTGGTGCACGCCTTTAATTCCAGCACTGGGAGGCAGATGGAACTCTGTGAGCTCAAGGACAGCCTGGTCTACATAGTGAGTTCTAGGCCAGCTGGGGCTATAGGGAGACCCTGTCTCAAAAAGACCAAAATAAATAAATAAATTAATTATTTTTTTTAAAAAAGTCTTAAAACACTGGGTTCCAGTGAATATTTCCAAACCCATGGTCATACAGATGGCCCTGATTCAACATCTAAGAACAAAACAACAAACAAACAACATATTCCACCATATCAACAACTTAAATAGCAAAAATCATATGATCATACTAATAATTACAAAAATAATTATATTAAAAGAAAAAGGCAGAGGGGTTATTGAGACTGTGAAGACAAAAACAGTATTGTTGTACAAGGTATGGTGCCGTGCCCCTTTAATCCCAGCACTTGACCTCTGTAAGTGGAATCCAATCTCAAGTTTGTAGTTGGGACCAAGGCAGGAGAGGGTAGACATTGCTTACATCCCCCCAAGAAGGGATTTGAGCAAACAAGTGCCAATGTCCTAGTTAGATTTAGCTGTCAGCTTGACAAAGCCTAGTCATATGAGGAACTGAATTAATGGTCTAGATCAGGTTGACCTGCAGTCATGTCTGTGAGAGACTGTCTGATGATTGGTGTTGGAGGGCTCAGCCCAGTGTGGGTAGCACCATCCCTAGGCTATAAGAGGAAGTTAGTTAGATCCTGGTCCTGGGTTATAAAAGGAAGTTAGTTAGGCAAGCCAGCAACTGAGCCAGCAATCACCATTCCTTCCAGGTTTCTGTTTTAGTTCCTGTCCTGACTTCCTTCAGTGATGGAATGTGGCCTGGAAGTGTAAGTCAAATAAACCCTTTCTTCAACTGTCTTTGGGTCATGGTGCTTAGAGCAATAGAGGGCAACCTAGAACAGAAAGGGGTACTGGGCTTGCTTGAGATGTTCTTACGAGGAACCTGACCATGTGGCTTTCATGCTTTTAGACTATTATGTGCAAGACTTGGGGAACTTAGGGCTGTGAAATCCAATAAATTTGAATGCCATAAGCAGATCTTAACCATCTGTTCTAGGGGAAGCTTGGAAGATGGGATTGCTGAGAAAAAGCAGACAGTGGAGGCACAGCTATGAGGTCTCACAAGGGAACAAGGACTCTATTAGCAACTGGGCTAGAAGCCACTTGTGTGATATTTTGGCAAAGAATCTGGCTGTATTCTGCTGCTGTCCTATGGAACTTTTAGGAGGTGAGGCATTACTGGAGTAAATATGTCACTGGGGGTGGGCTTTGAGAGTTTACTGCCTTACCCCAGTTAGTTTACTCTGTTCACTGTTGTGCCAATATAATGTGATCAGCCAGCTTCCAGCTCTGGCCACATGCTGCCATGACTTCTTCCTCTGGAACTGGAAGCCAAAATAAACTCTTCTGTAAGTTGCTTTTGGTTGTAGTGCTTTATCACAGCAACAAAGAGACTAATACATGGACTAATTACTTCACACAGGAGATTTCAAGACAGCATAATACTGAGTCTGTGGGATGATTACTATGGATTATTTTTATGAGGTCCAAAATGAAGAAGAGGATGAAGTAAGGAAAAAGTACACTTTGAAGAGGAAAGGAGCAACAGGAAGCTTAAGGATGGAATCGAGACGTGCTGAAAGAGGCTGTAACTGTTAACGAGAACAGTGTCTTTAAAGACAAGCCTCTGGTTCTGCACTGGAACAGTAGGAAAATGTGCACTGAGTTGCCCCCAGTGTTACGTCTTTTCCGGTTCCACGTGGGCAATACTGCCAAGTGTGGCTGGCAGTTTGGGATGGCCCCTCATTCCCTCTGACCACATCAGAAGCAGCTTTTGTATGTTCAGATGATTGCTTTCTAGAAGGAGACAACTCCTTAGGGTTTCTCCTTTCACAGGTGGCTAGCTTAGCTGTGTGGAGTCTTGCCCTGAGGACACCCTTCCAACAGCTGCACTGCACAGTACAAGGCCTCTTCTAACTGGTACTAATCTCCACAGCAATTATAGCCTCTCTTTTCATACACTCCTTAGCTGTACATAAAGCTTCCTAATGTCCTTTTTCTCCCCAAACTACATTTTGTATTCCTTTCTGTCTCAGTTTCACCATAAGCCTGAATAAGGCTTATCAGTAACAAGTATGCCACAGACTAGATGTTATGTTGCCTTGAAATGTCCTCCACCAAGAAATGAGTCCACTACTTTTCAATTTAGCCTTAAGAAAGTTCTTTGGAATCAGAAATAAGGCACTAGATTCTTTGCCAAAATATCACACGAATGGCTTCTACAACAGATGCTGACATGGATCCCACCTGAAACCTCATGAGCCAGGCTACTGTTCCCATTACTCCCAGAATTACTGTCTTCCAGATTCCTATACGATGGCCCATTAAGCTCTGCTTACAACAGTCAACTACTATTTTAGTCCAAAGTTCCAAAGACTTTCATATTTCTCTAAAACAGCATGGTCTGGTTTTTCACAACACAAGTGGTATCATTCCCCTTGTCCTGGTACCAACTTCTGCTTTAGTCCGTCTGCTGCTGTGGTAGAACACTATGAAAAAAAAAACAGAGTATGAAAAAAAAGAGTTCATTGTGCTTTATGGTGCAGAGGGGAAGTCCATAATGGTGAAGCAGAAATGGTAGCAGGTTCTCGAGAGGAGCAGGAAGCTCGCTGTTCACATCTTCAACTACAAACACAAAGCAGAGAGCACACCGGAAGTGGGGTGAGGCTATAAAACATCCAAAGCCCACCCCCAGTTACATGCTTCCACCAACGGGGCTGCACTGCCTAAAGGTTCTTCGACCTTCCCAAGCAGTGCCATCAACTAAGGACCAGGCACTCAAATACTTCAACCACTGGGGGTACATTTCTGATTCAAACCACATCTGACTTGATGGACTCCACCACTCTGGAACCATATGCCAAAGTATACACTTTTCTCTCTGAAGCTGCTGTTGGTCAGTGTTTTAGCATAACAACAGAAGAGCAACCAGAACAGAAATAGGCAACAGCATGAGGTCTGCTGTGAAGAACTGACCATGAGGTTTTCCGTGCTTGTGGACTATTTCGTTGGAACAGTGCTCACTGGCCCACCCACTGACTCACTTGGTTAACTTCTTATACAGCCCAGGCCCACCTGCCTCGTGCCACGCACAGTGGGCTGGGCCCTCCCACATCAACAATCAAGACAATTCCTCACATAGGAGGCTCAAGCCACCGTGATCTAGGCAAACCCTCAATTCAGCCTCCCTCACATGACTTTAATCTTTGTCACATTGACAGCTGAAGCTAACTAGGGTGACAACATAATCCCAATGAAAATCGAACACCTTAACCAATATCAGAACTGACTGTAAAGGTAATATGGAAAGGGTGAAAAAGAGACTAGTGAACTTAACACTGCACAGGAAACTATACACGTTGACACTATATGACTAAGACTTCTGAAAAATGTGAATGATCAAGACGGAGTACTATTTGGGAACAAATACACAGATCGACAGAACAGGAAAGCCAGAAATAAAACCACAAAAATGTAAGCAACTTATTTTTTTTTAGAACAGAAGAAACTCCGTGTATAAACCGTGGTCTTCTCACAAATGCTACTAGACTTCATGGGACCCACGCTGAGAAAAGCCATTACAGAGCGTACAACTTCCACAGAACTGACTCCAAGTGCATCCTGACCTAACTGTGAAACGCGAAGTGCAGAGCACGGGGAACGTCCCAGAGGAGCCGACCTCCGGGAAGGCGGGTGACAGGTGTCGGGGTCTACGCCACGGCAGAGCCTGTTAGGGATCCACGCTACCGAAGCACATCCCTATTCCAGTCCTTTCCCAAGCAGGACCTGGGGGCGCACGCCGAACACAGACGTAACCGACACGGAAGCCTCCGCACAGGACAGCAGGCTCGGCCACCACCGTCCTCCCCCAGGCTTCGCGGGAGGCTCGGCTGCCACTCGGTCGCCCCTCCCCGCCTGGGACAGCCGGCCCACGCTCACCATGGCTGGGCTTCCGGGCTCGCCCCGCTCTCCTCCTCTCCTTCCTCCCGGAAGTGGCGCTCGCAGCGTAGCACAAATGTCAGGTTCAGTTGGGGTCCGCAACGGTAGCGCACCAGCTGGAAATCCCGCCCTCTCGCGCCTAGTCACCGGTCCTGATTGGACAGCCCGCCCGGAGCCCTGATTGGGCAGCGGGGCCCGAGTGACAGGAGCAGTGTCCTGAGGGTCCAAATGCCGCTGAACCGAATGGGTTAGTACATCCCCTCCCAGCCCTGCTGTAAGTTGAGAAGCAGCAGAGCTGCCGGCAGATTCAAAGGAACTAGATTCTGGCCTTCCAGAGCCCTAGCCTTCTTCCACTCTGTAGGCGCTTAGCATTCTCTTAGCACAGAGTCTCTAGTGTGCAACTATAACACACAATGTTTAAAGGAGTGATCCTGCCACCTCCAGGTTGGAAGGGCCCCCAGCCCATGCCAGGTCTAAATCAAATAGGACCTGGTGGCCGGAGATCAGGAATGTGGGTAAAGCACACCAAGAATACTTATCTCTCACACCTTATCTCTCAGGCTCCACTGTCAACCAAAAAGATAACACACTGGGCCCAAGCCCATGATTACAACACTCAGGAGGTGCAGGCAGGAAAATCAAAAGTTTAAGGTCATTCTGGGCTACTTGAGAGTTCGGTCTTCACAACCATAAACAACTTTAAAACAGGCTAAAAGGTAAACAAAACCATTAATGTATGGAAAAGTGAAATTTAGAACGATTAAAGACAACATCCATCAAATAGGTATTTGGGGGGAAAAGGACACTGATACCAACTGTAGGTTATTTTAAAGATAGACATAATTAGCATAGCCTTAGCTATTTTGAATTTTAAAAAGAAAAGGGATTCAAATAGGTAATTTCAGAAATTAGAGTTGGATGTGGTGCTGCAGGATCCCAAGTTCTAGCAGGGCTACAGACTGCATTCAAGATCAACTTGGAAAGAGTCTCAAATAGAAACATTAAAAAGTAGCTCAGTGGTAGAACGCTTGCCTAACTTGAGAGGAACTGAGTTCAGACACCAGTACCCCATGCCCCCAAAATGAATTATCACCAATCTTACAGAAATAGAATGAATTAGAAGAACAGCAAATCGGATAACCTAGATGAAAGAAACTGGAATGTGGAAATATATTACTGTTGTCAAGGTCTTTTAAAATTATTTTTTTTATTTTATGTGTATGAATGTGTTGCCTGCATGTATGTAAGTGCACCCATATGGGTGTCCTCGAAGGTCAGAAGAGGGCGTCAGATTCTCCTGGAACTGGAGTTACAGACTGTTGTTAGCCACCTGTGGGTGCTGGGAATCAAACCCAGGGTCCTCTGCAAGAGCAACCAGTGCTCTTAACCACTGAGCCATCTCTCCAGCCCCACAAATATTTGAACATATTTTTAAACATTTAAAACAAAAGCTTTTTAAATAAAAATAAATGTTTTAAAAGGAAATACAAAGTAAATAAAAATTTACATTTTAAAAAAACTATGGTAGGATTACTTTGAAAGACAACAAGAAGAACCAAATAGCTTAACTCTAGGTCTAGCACAAGTAAAATAGTTAACGCTGGACTGTGCTGCTTTGAGTAACAGCACTGTTGTAGATCAGTCTAAGACTGATCTGTCCACATTAGTATTTCTTTTGTTCTGTTCTTGTTGACTTTGTTTGTTTTTTTTAAGACAGGGTCTCCTTGTAGCGGAAAGCCACATACCAGAACTTGATATGTAGATGAGGCCAGCCTCTATCCTGCAGAGATCTACCTGCCTCTTCCTCCCAGGTGCTGGGATTAAAGTTGTGCACTATGCACGCCTGGCCACTTTAGTATTTCTAACACTAACTCAGTTGTTGTTGTTTTTTTTTTCCTTCTTCTTTTTTTGAGACTGTCTCCCTGCCTGCCGAGTGCTGGGACTAAAGGCATGCGCCACCACTCAGTTTTTTAGTTATTTACCAAGACAAAATTTGTTCTTCGTAGTTAAACAAGGCAACTTTTACCAAACAAGTAAAATTCAAGTCGGGCTGGCCTCAGAAGCTCCAGTTCAGTTATCCTCTCATTTTCCTTTTTACTTAGTTGAGCAGTTTTGCTTGATAGCCCAGGATCACTGGGATGACAGGCAGGAGCCACCACTCCCAGATTACGGTTCTCTTACAGAGTCAACTACTAGATGTGTTTTTCTGCAGTGCAGTTCACAGTGCTAGCTCACTGTCAGGCTCAAGACCACTGTACGTGGTTTTGGTTTTGAGTGGCTGCAGGGACTGGCCAAATAGCTACATCACAGCTCTCTTTCTCCACTTCCTGCCTCCACATTATGATTCAGTCTCTGCACTGCTGTAGCGGCTATAGCTCAGGGCTTTACTGAAAAAGACTAGGCCCCACAAGCACCCATAAGCCCACATGTTTAAAATTGTCAAAAACCAGAACCAGTCTTATCAAAAGGCTGCAGGACAGGCAGGTGCAGGTCAAGCTTCACAGATCAAGCCATAAACAAGTTTTACGGGTAGAACTCCTGACCACCCTGAGGGCCCGATACCAGGAAATCTAGAGAAAAGCATCTGTGCCTCTGAGGTCACCTCCCATTTAGCAATCCCACTTCCCCTTAGCCCCGGCCCTTACCCCATATCTCTGCATACTTTTAAAATTACTGTGTGTGTGTTTGAATTAACAAATAACCGCTCTTCTGCTTCTTTCTGTATCTCGCTTCTGCTCTATAAAAGTTCCACAAACCTGACCTGAGGCGCGCAAGTCCTCCGAGGAGACTCTGTGCCCACACCCACAGGTCATCAAATAAACCTCTTGCTGTTGCAACCCGAAAGGCTGACTTGTCCTCAATGGTTTCACTCTTACATTACGGAGTCTCACTCAGACCATTTCAGTGGAAAACTACTTGTTTCTTTTTTTCTTTTTTGTCTTTTTGAGACAAGGTCTCCCTGTAGCCCCAGCTGTGCTGGAACTCACAGAGATACAGGTGTGCACCACCACGGCTGGCTTCTTTTTTTTCTTTTTAAAGATATATTTTTATTTTACTCATATATATATATATTATTTTACTCATATATATGCCTATGTGAGTATATGTCACATGTGTATGGGATCCCGTGTAAACCAGAAGAAGGTATCAGAATCTCCTGAAACTGGAGTTAAAGACAGTGTGAGTCATTGATGTGGGTGCTGGAAATGAATTTGGGGCCCCTGGAAGAGCTGAAAGTGTGCTAACCAGTAAGCCATCTCTCCAGCCCCTTCTGTGTAACATCTTCCAAACCCAGAGCTGCACTACATTCTGTGTCCAGCATAATCTCCGTAAGCACACCTCAGGAACACCCCCCCACCCCCGCCAATTTAACTGCCAAGACCTCTAAAAGGCCCCCAAGTATATTAAAGGTCTCAGCCCAGCAATTCAGGGCCTTTACCTTCTTTTCCCAACATAGCTCGAACTCACCCATCTACGTCCTGTGGAACTGATTTTCTTGATGGAGTCTTGCTTGTTCGTAATTCTCTAGACTTTCCCTCCTGGTCTGCTTCCTTCTTAGGACACAGCCTTTCTCTTATACTACCTGTTTCTCATTCTATCAGGCTCAAGTTCTATGAATAACTACAATTAATGTTTGTAGACTTCTGCCATAAAACTCTTTCCACCGAGTTTCTAGAGGACAGACTCCTCATTTGGGGTCTGCAGACAAGCTTGCATGGTTGCTATGATCACCGCAGAGCAGTCTAAACCACACAAAAGAGGTTTGGGGAGATGGGATAACATTCTCTCTGGCCTTCCATCTCACAATCCATAGCGACTCAGGGCCAGTGCAGAGTGTGTACCTCACTGTCAGGGTAGGGAGCAACATAAATACCTCTTTATTTTCCTCAATGATTTGAAAAATAGAAAGATTATAGTATATAGTGATTTTTTTTTTTTCTAAACAGGAATAGAGCAGATGGTATACAGTCATCCACATAGCTACTTTATGACTCTTAGGTCATTACTGATATTACTCCTTAGAACAGAGACATTAACAAACCTAGTGACACTGTACTGGTCATACTGGTCTTATACATACTGGTGTGTGTGTGTGTGTGTGTGTGTGTGTGTGTGTGTGTGTGTGCTGGGTAGTTTCTGGCTGATGGGACATTCTGCCAGCACTTTCTTTCAGTCAGATAAGTCCTAGGCACAGTTTTTTGGTGATTTTTTGTCGCAATTGTTTTTTGAGACAAAGCCTCCCTATAACCCCAGCAGGCCTGGAACTTGCTATGGAGACCAGGCTGGCCTGGATCTACCAAGAGGTCCACCTGCCTCTGCCTTCTGAGTGCTGGGGTTAAAGGCAGGCACAACCACACCTGGCACAGTTTTGTTTTGTTTTTTTTTTTAAGCAAAATCATAAGCCTCCGGGAAGTTAGTTTTAGAAAATTATTTCCTTGGATATGATAGTTGCAGTTTTACACATTAAAAAATAAAATCAGAGACTCTCTTTAGAAGTGGACACCATGTCTTCAGTGTGCACTGTCCCTGTCCCAATTGCCACAGACTCCTAGGTTCTGCCCTGGCCAGAGGCCAGAAAAGCCTGAGCAGCTTTTGTTATCTTTCTTCTCCCTCTACACAGCCTAATGAGCAACCACTGCCTGGAAGCTACACACCAGGACAGACCAAAACTGAGGTGCAGGAACACCTGTGGGTGGGCTAGCTCTGTGACCAGCTTACCTCCCAGGCCTCAACCTAGAAAAACTCTTCTAGCTCATAGACGGGGACTCTCTGGCTTCCTTTGCAGGAGCTCTGCTTCCTTGCTTTCTCTTCAGTTCCCTCTTCACCTATAATAAAAATCCTTTTTAAAGACTCAGCCTCGCTGTGGTCTGTGTAAT